AATATTATAGCACAAGAATCGCTGCATATAGTAGAGTATTACTCTCATTATAGTTAATATCGCTCTTTTGAATGCCCAATTAGCATGCTAAATTTCAGCCCTTAAACAATCCGCAAATCAATATTCATCCATTATATGACAGAAAATAATATTGAAACCAACTGAAATTACTCACCTGTATGTAGTTTTATTGACAATTAAATAAAATAAAACAAAGTCTTAAAATCTTAAATCATTGTATCCAGTATGCATGAGAAGCAATTCAACTCTAAACCCACCAGTGATAGTTTTCGACACCTCTGAAAATGTTAGCATTTTCTTCATCGCACATTGTCATTGTTGAAATCGTAATGCTTTAAAATTTTCATTAGTCAAGTCAATAATTTGGTTGGCAAATAAATTTGGAGAACTTGAAAAGTTTTACAATTTGCGAGAAAATCAATTTGTTTCTCCAGCATTCTGTCCAATTTTAAAATGAGGGATGTGTGATAGACTTAACTCCACGTGGTGCACCCTGGTCAACGTATACTCATACGGCAAAAAGTCTATTATTCGGCAGTTGACTTCCGACTTAAAAACACCATCACCTCACTGTATGTCATATTCGACTACTTCCACAGTACTCACCTCAGCTTTTTCACTCTACCTTTGTGTCTTTCTCTTTTACATCTTTGAAATACTCTTCTGTTCCCCTCCCCTCTCTCGACTTTTTTCCCTTTGATGTTCCTTCCTTCTTGAAATCGACTTTTTTTCACTTTGATGTTCCTCCCCTCTTTGAAGCCTGAAGTCAACTAAAGGGCTTATGATAACTATCAAAATGCCTGCCATTTGATATAAATAAATAAATGTTAAAATAAGCTTTTAACTTTGCTTTCTTATTATTGACTCTAACAACAATAATTCGAAAGTTAAATTTGAGCAAACTGGGTAAAAATTTAAATTCCAAATAAGTATTGTTTGGTTAATTGACTTAAAAATGAAATTTTAGAGAATCTCTAATCTTTTTTATGAATTCAAAATGATTAAGACGTAAGGCTGTAAAATTAAAAACGCAGAAAAAATTGGGAGCCGATTTTATTGGCTCACCATTCGTAGTACTTGTGACAGCATATTCTATTATTATGCAAATTGCAAATGGATCAGTCATCTGTAAACTGAGTTGACAATCATATTTAATAGAACCTACTTTCACATTCCGTTACATCCGGTGACATTCCCCTAGGCATTGCAGAACTCGTAAAATTGCAATTTAAATTAAAATATAATGTTGACTAATTAACCGTCGTGCCTTGTTTCATCCATTCGATAGCAACTCCGACTGTTGACGCGCCGACGGAAAAAGTCAAAGTTGTGAAAGTTTCCTCATTAATACGGTAAACCTCGTGCGTATAGTCCAGACTATCGTGTAGTGCGTTTATTTTCAGGTTCGCTTTGTGATGAAATGTGCGATTAAATAATCGGGTTAGGTAAGAAAAGTTATTCCTTTTTACTTACAGCAGTTTTGTTTAGGTGATTGGGAAATCTGTTTACTTCCAAGCCAGGAGCAAATCAGAGTAGATCCTCTGTACAAGTGACTCTTAAAGAAAGGCATAGTGTTTCCTTAAAATCGTCATTAACATGTTTTAAGGCGATATATTATAATTTCGCTTTTCTAATTACGATATTCTAAGGAACAACTTGATGAATATTTAACTTACCTCGAATTTGCCAGGCTTGCCTTTAATAGAAAAGTTGATTTTAAGAGATTTTTCGTCATTTGCATACCTAATGAAAGGAAACGAGGCTTCCAGTGCGAGAAATCCTAAAAAATTTGGTCAAACAAGTTTAGACTATATTGCGTTAAATGATAAAATAAACTAATAAATAATTCCCTCTTTTAAGTAGCATATAAGTAGTTTACCTTCTGCAGCAGATTTGAAAGCACAGTTTGGAACGAAATTGACCACACACGTGAACTTTATTCCAAGGACAACTAGTTGGTCTACATTTGGTGCTCCAATTATTGAAATTTTATTATATCCTAAATAACGATAATACATTAATTTACTCAGTTACCGTTATTGATGTTGCAAGGTTCCCAATTCGGATAACCTTCCATTTCACATGTATCATTTTCAATTGTAATTAATTTGAATACATGATTTATGACGCCGTAAATACTCTTAAGTTAAGAAAAATATAATATATTTATTAAAATTAATACGAACTGCCAACTCGTCCGCCATAATTAACAAAGGTTCTGTCTTGCTTCTTGGCGTTGCAACGATTTTTGAGCAAACTTTGGTGGCCTGGATTGATTCGACATCCCCAAGAGCAGTAGTAATTTGCAACCATGCAAGAACAAGTACAACGAGTATCATTTGTTTTGGATTGACATCAAGCAATTCCCACAACCTTAAATGTCTACATTAGGAAATTTTCATTGGATTTTTTCTCAATATCCAATGCAAGTTTTAGTGTGCCAATAACTGGCCTGAACCGAAATATGCAAAAAAACTGATGCTAACTCTTGGGTATTAGCAGATTTGGATGCGTCATTTACAAAAATTTTGTCAATAATTCAGACTTAAATCAAGTAAAATATATATGCAGCGCAAGACTCTTTTCCTTTGACATAGCTTGAGTAACGATAATTTTGCTCACACTTAATTTACTACTTTGTTTAATTAGCATTTTTGCCTAACATAAGTTATTTGTAATTATTAATTGAATTGGATTCGAAATTTAGTTACCACTGGAAATGCGTACGACCTAAGTCAGATTTTGCTCCTTAACGTTTAATGATTTTATTTCAAATTATTTGTGTCAAATCTATTCTTTCTATTAGAAAGAGAAAACATGTTTGGTGGTCAGGCTTAAGTTCTTCAAGCTGCCTATTATTAGAATAGAGGAAATTATTATAAGCAATCATTGGCTAAATAATACTAAGACGTTAAAACATTTCCCAATTGACTACATTATGTCTCAATCTTATCTGAACCAAATGTTCATTTAACCCATTGTTATTTCAGTTAATATTCAATGCAAACTTTTCATTTAAAGATCTATTATTCAGAAAATCTTATCCATGGGAATTTGCAGTAGATTCGTATACAGGATCAATGCCTTTTCTTTGATAAGGGAATATATTGTGGTGCTTCCTATAACTATGAGCATTGCATCAATGGGTGTTGATTTTATCCATCCAGTAATTAGTCGTAATGCTTGGTTGTGTGCCTTCTCTGGTGGTTTGAGCGTCACCTCTGTGGCTGTAATGAGTGGCTCACAGCAATACAACATTATTGGCTGAATGAACATCTTGTTATTGATGTTAAGAGTTGAGCGTGCACAGCCCATACGCTACCAGCAAGACGTTTCAGCACATTAAGTCTATTGAAGTTTCGTTCAGATATTTTGGTAATATGACTTCTCCATGTTAGCTTTGTTTCAAACGTCATTTCGAGATAAAGGAAATTATTGGTTTTTTCTAGGGTAGTATCCTTGTACCTTTGAAGGGGGTTTAAGCTGTGACGGGCCAGAGAAAATGTTTTGAGTGAAGTTTTCGCGGTATTTATTACCATTCCATTGTTGTCTCACCAGTTTGATAGTATTTTAAGTGCATCATTTAGAACACTTTCCGTTCTCTCCTGAGCCTTTTCCTTAAGGGCGGAATACCAAAGAACAAGATCATATGGGTGAAGTAAGCACTTGTGCCTGTGACTGACTATACCAATTCGATTATGTTATTGATGAAGTCATTGAAAAGAGTCCAGCTTGTAAAAGCGCGCAGTTGAAGGCCTGTCTGCAAAAGATTGGATTTTGATAGAGCATTTCCGTATCTGACGTTTCATAATCTTTGTCTAATGAATGCTTTAATCCAGTTTAGCATGTTATGCTAAAGAGCAATTTTTGCCAATTTCAGAATTAGCTTCTCTTTCAATATTTAGTCATATGTTGATTTGAAATGGACAAATATTGCCGTAAGAGTATTTCTTGCCTTGATATTTGGGAGAAAGTAGCTACTTGTTGGTTAGTTGATCTTTGCGGCGTAAAACCTGCTTGTTCACTCCTAAGAATATTTGTGGTCTAAAAACCAGGTCAGCCTCCTCGTAACCATTCTTTTTATAAGTTTAGCCAGCACGCTTGTGAGGGAGATAGGCCTATAGTTGTCAAAGTTGCTAGGGTCTTTACCCTTTTAATGCAAGTATTGCTATGGAAACTTTCTATTGGTTAGGTACGAGACTGGACACCCAGATTAGTTGAAAAGCGTCGGCGTGGTTTCCTTGGCATTCTAATTAGAAATTCTTGATGAATACCGTCTTCGCCAGAAGACGTTATGCACTTTAGTTGTTTTATCGCAGCATTAAGTTTGCAATGTCTGAATGGTTCAGTAAATACATTATTTGGTGTTGTTATGTCCTTCTCAATTTCACCCAACTGTCTTGCTTGTATCTTTAAATCTCTTGAAGATTTTCTTCTTACTTGTAGTTTTAAATCTCTTGAAGATTTTCTGACAAAGTATCTTTAAATCTCTTGAAGATTTTCTGACAAAAGGGTTTTTCCTTTTGCTTCTGGCAATAGAACCTTGCAAAGCAGTTAGCGATTTCGGAGTCGGTGGTAAGCAGTTTGTTTTTTAAACGTATTGATTATTTCTTGGTTTATTCCTTGTTGTTTAGGAGGTTACTCGGGAATTAGAAAGTGCGTTGGCTATCACTTTGGCAGTTGATATTTGAGATGAACTTGTTGAAGGACGTTCGTTTAGCTGGTAAGATGGCTTGACTTGGCACAGCTGATTGTCGTCTACAGACTTGATCCTTTTTCGTCCTTTCAGTCTGATCAACAGTGTTGCGAAGGGCGTCCCACTTTCTTTTCAGTTCCTCGAGGTGTTCAGACCAAAACACTTGATAGTGATTAGTCTTTCCACATGGAATGGATTTCTTAGCATATCTAATCAGAATATTCGTGATATGATTGCAAAGTTTGTCAGCATGTTGTTTGAAGTTGGGGGGACTTGTGTAAAGTTTATTCTTCAAAGGAGTTGTGAATATAGACCAGGCAGACTTGTTGAAGTTCCATGATAGCTTTTTTTCACTTTCGTTGTCATGCTTGTGCTACCGATGGTAATACAAGCTATGACTGGTATGTGACCAGAACCATGATCGACAATTATTTTGCGTCGTGCATGCTCGATAATGTCGCTTGATGTCAGGAGCAAGTTGTTCTGGTTCCATTGAAGTGCAAATATTTAGCAGGATCCACATTGCTGTAAATAGATTTCAGAGGGTTGCTGCTTAACACGTCTTCGATTTCCTTTCCAGATATTGTTGCAGTCTAATAGCCTCATCTGGTAGAATGGGCATTGATGTCCTCTAATACTACAGTTTTGAGTGAAATGTTTATAAAATCAATGTTGAGAATATTCTGGGATAGATTATAGGGGTTTTGACATTTCCAAATATCTAATCTGATTATTTCGCATATGTGTTACGTCGAGCATACACTCTTGATTAGATCGTAATATGATTTGAGGACTTCTTTTACTCCAGTCAGAATTCCACTAGCTACTTGCCGGTATTTAGGTAGAAGGTACAATGTGTAACCTGGGAATCGGTAGTATTTCAGTAAGTCTACCGAAAGGTTTGCTTCCGTTATTGTGAAAAAGTCCATATCTTCGGTCTGTAGGAGTTTCTGGACTTGGATCATTTTTGTCCTGTGACATCCCTCCAGCATTCCACTGGAGGATTTGCCGACGTTGTAATTCGCCATGACGAGGGCGATTTCTCTTCTACCATTGTTTCAAGCTAATCATAAATAATAGAAGTCGTAGAAAGAGGGTGCAGCACGAGGTGCCAAGTCTATTACGCACCCTGAGCTTAAAATATACGCCTTAATTTAAGAATTTGTCACCTTTCCATTTCCCATTGATGTTATTTATTGAATTAATTTAATATGAAATCATTACTTTCCTCTAATTCTAAATTTAATAAATGAAGCTACGAAGGCAGCACATTTGAGTGTGAGAGGGATAGAATGAAAAATAAATATATGTAAGTAGATAATTTAGTTAGTATGGAAAATTAGCAGTTTGCTTGAAAAGTGTTTTGCTTTAACTTAACTAGGACGTAAGGCTATGGTAAGGAATATGGGGCCGATGAATATGCAAAAGATGCTTATATAATCTGTAAAATTGAAATACTAGCACAGCTAAAGTCACTGTTAACAACGTTTACCAAAAAGTCTATAGAAAACCGTTATCTTCAACTGTAATCATTGCTTTATAACAATAGCGCGCCAGATTTGTCCCCTCAAATTTAAATACTCGGTGTGAATATGGACGCGCAGCAATCTCTGTCTCATAAATCAAATTAAGGTAGGTAGATTGGCCATTAAAGCGAATTAAACGTCAAATATTTAGCAATCCTACTTTGAACTTAAAATATTTAGGTGGCAACTAAGTCATTGCCGATTTCAAATAAGAAGGCAAAGGTTAGCAACTAAGTCATTGGCGATTTCAAATAAGAAGGCAAATTTTAATTTTTGTTTAAAAATATAACTTTATTCAATTAAATATTTTTTTTGTTTAAAAATATAACTTTATTCAATTAGATATTGGCCATCTTGTCGATCGACCTTTTCCCATCGTTCTGGCAGAGTAAAACTTCCCCGTTCGACCTTTTTCCGTCGTTCTAACAGAGTAAAAATTCACCGTTCGTAAAATGTCTGGTCTTTGCTATTAAAAAACTGAATTAGGTGTGATCCGACATCATCCGCGTTGTTACAAATTTTACCATTTAAAGAGTTTTGCATGGAACAAAGCAAATGATAATCCGAAGGCGCAAGGTGAGGGCTATATGGTGGGTGTGACAAAACATCCCAACCCAGTTCCAATAATTTTTGCCGAGTAACCAAAGATGTGTGGGGCCTTGCGTTATCATGATGAAAACAACACCCTTCTGCCGATTTGATAATGCCGGCCGCTTATCTTCAATTGCATCCTTCACTTTTTCGAGTTCTTCAACATACACATTTGAATTTATCGTTTGGTTCTGCGGCATGAGTTCAAAATACAAAATTCCTTTGTGATCCCACCCACCAGACTGACAGCATAATCTTTTTTGGGGGTGAATCTCTGCTTTTGATACTGTTTGGGCTGGTTGATCTTGCTTCACCCATGATCTCTTGCGAGTAACGACATTGTTATAAACTATCCACTTTTCGTCGCCAGTAACGAGGTTCTTCAGAAATGGATCATTCTCATTGCGTTTCAGTGGCGGCGAATCACAGATGCTAATCCGTTGCGTCAAAGAAATCTCCTTTAACTGGTGAGGGATCCATAAATCAAGTTTCTTGACATAACCAAGGGTTTTTAATTTTTTTCAATGCTTCTATGCGACACATTAAGCTTCTCTGCAATATCTCGTGTTGTGCTGTGACGATTTGAATCGATAATGACCTTGATATGGGTTTCATCCACTTCGACTGGGCGGCCAGATCGTTGTGAATTTTTCAGTGAAAAATCACCGGAACGAAATCTTTCAAACCAATTTCGACACTGCCTTTCTTCTAAGGCTTCATCTCCATATACGGCACATAACTTTTTTTGTGCTTGCGATGCGTTCTTGCCTTTTCGGAAGTAATACAATAAAATGTGTCGGAAGTGCACGTCCTGTTCTTTCATCTTTAAATTGGGATAAAAACAAAACTAAAGAACTAAACAAAAAATTTTTTACTAATTAACCTTGAAGCCCATACAGTAAGAAGAAAATATAGGTTAGATGCTCTGGCCACTTTAACAAAACAAAAAAAAGTATAGAGTGAATCTGTCAACTAAAACGACAATGACTTAGTTGCCAACTTAATAGAATTTCTTTGTCAGAGGTACCACGAAAATTAACAAATGAAAATCCATAACAGCCTACCCATTAATATCAGTAGTAACAAAAATGAAAGCCAAGTTTGCTAAAAATGCGTGGCTTGAAGTTATTGACATCCTTAGCTTATCTTCTTGAATATGCTATGGAAATGGATGATTTTCAATACATGCAAAACTCGAAGGCACCTTCAGCGGAATGTAATCTTTTAAATTATTGTCAAGTGGAGTTCTAATGAGAGTTTAAATAAGTTAATGAGGACAAAACATTCTTGATTTACAAAAACGTATCTTCGGCAGTAGTAAGAAGCATTAGCTTAAACGGGAACCTTGATTAAAGATAGGAGAAATTTTGATGTGAAGCAAAATTATAGAAAGCATGGAATTTCAGCAAATTATGACTTAATATGCAACTAAAACACTAGTTAATAATTCTTAGATAATGTTAAATACATATAGCAAAGCAATCTGTTGGCCTGTCAACTGCAATACATGATAATTTGTTCGTTCGTGCAGAATAGGTCCAAGCGCGCATTTTTCAGATAATATTATTTCAATATACGCTGAATAAAGTGTATTGTAAATTTTCTTAATCGATAAATCGATGGTTTCATGATATGGTGCATTTATTTTGCCAGTGGTTTCAAAAATATGACAGATTCTAAACGGATTATTTCGTTATTCAATTGACAAACGTACCTCATTAGTTTTCCCGCAAGCGCAATTACTTTTATCTCCCCTTAAGCCAAAAAAACATTGCACCACACGATTGGCGATAGATTAACAAATTGATAATTAATGGTATGGGGTTATTTAATTTTTCATGTAAGACCTTAGCACTCATTAGCGAATCGGCATATGAGATAATCAAGGTGAATAACGCATATCAAATGTTTTATTAGTATTATTTATTACATCTTCATGGTACTATGAGTTTGAAATTTATTCAATTTTCACTTTTAGTTATTATTCGACCTTTTAACTGCTTCCAATTGGCATTATTATTTTCCAATAAGTGGTAAAATTTGCCTAAACCGATAGTTTTTCTCTATTCAATTACTCAAAATGCACAAATAGTGTGGCTTTTTCCTTTATCAGTATTGCATTAAATTTTATTCTTCCTATTTAATAAGTACCTCAGGCATATCTACAACATATTTAAAATAGGAGCATTTTTGCAAATATAAAACCTATTTCCGTAAATATGACAATTCCCATTTTCAATATTTTTGTTAAATGCAGAAACGAGTCCATTATTTTGTCACCATCTATATTGTTGAGGAATAGCCGCGCTAGAATGCCATCCGTTTACAATCATGCTGTAAATTAATGCAAGTGTGAGAGTTGCTAACACTAATAAAATAAAATTAGGCCTTATAATATGTATAAATATATTGTTGCATATAATGTGAAAAAAATATCGTATAGACATAAATTCGTATGTCTGGAATGTAACGCAATTGATAATCCATATTTACTACTACCAGCATGGTAATGTGGATGCGTGCCAAAATCGTTTCAAATAGACAAAGCGAAATAGTTTAATTTAAGTATAATTATCATCGGATTTCCAGTGACCTGAGATTGTAATCTTTTGCTCTATTTAAAGTATAAGTCAATAGAGGCTGCCTCTGTAGTCTTCTGAATGAACTAATCGACACGTCGAGAAGTGTTTCAGATTACACTATCATTAATTTTACTAAACAAATTAATTTTATGCATTGTGAAAGCGAATCGATACTTATCTTCTTCATACAAAGAGTTAAAATAATTAAGCAAAATTTATTTAGTTGGTAGTAGACATTTTAAAATTAAGCCTATTATAAATATATCTAATATATATATATATATATATATATATATATATATATATATATATATATATATATGCATCCATATTTGTCAATTTGTTTCGCTAATATAAGTTTACTTAATTTTGGTTTAATATCATTAAAGCACCAAGATTAACCTAATTGACAGACGATGATTGACAGATATATTTTCGCCACAAAACCTTCATTACTGAATTATGAGTGACAAAAGCAGTATGTCTACCAAGATTATTTCAAATTTAAATTAAATTCAAATACAAATTTATAAAAAGCAATCCATTCAGCTTGTCTCTTTCGCTTAATGAGATTTTCAAAAAAATATATATCATCTACTTATTTTTTTTCTTTCAAAGATAATTTTATTAAGAAAACAAATGTGCTTGGTTTCAATTTTGGAAAACAACATGGGGCACATCGTCAGTGACGTTTGTTGAAGTGACCTAACAGGAAGTCCAATGCAAACGTATTTCTTTCAAATGTCCGTCTTTATATTTTAGACCTATTTAAGACCAATGGATAGATTCAACTAGATGTTTAAAGCACAGAATCAAACCTTTATGCATTTTTTACAATTTCAAACCGACAGGAGTCACTGACGCTCAGTTTTCACGACGAGTTATTAATTTTAACTAATTTGTTGGCAAATGAAAGTTTTTATCCTTGTTTGTCAAAGAACCATTGTACTTTATATTCGATTATGGAATATATTTACAGAAATGGTATTTAATAGAAGAATAAAAATTATATATCTGATCCAAGTTAAATTACGGGCATCATAATGAAAAATGAAAAGGCAGCCGATTGTGGGAAAGCATATCCACCAGGTTGCAAAATAATTAAATATTTAAATTTGCCTTCAAGCGAATGCTATGGAGGATATTTTTTAAAGCATTTTTTTGAAATATTTCAAGAAATATGTATTTTGAATTTACAATCAATGGAAAAGATAATTTTCATAAATTGAATGGAAGTTTTCGTTCACTCATATTAGTGCTATGCAGTCTCCCCAACACATCTTTGTGGTTTGTTACGAGGAAAGGGATATCCAGATTTAGATCTGCCCA